GGTTTGTTAATTTGTGGCAATTTTCAACCTCCACAAAATGAATTGTGGCAGTTTTAAAAAACGTCGCAGTTATGTTCGCCACGAGCATTTTTGTGGCAGTTTTTTAAAACCTCCATGACGACCGCCACAAAATAAATTTTCAATTTGTGGCAGTTTTCAAAGGTAATTAGTGGTAGTTTGTAACCCCAATAATATCATCTTAATGTTTTAAAAAAATTATTTGTGGGGATTTATAACCCCCACAATTTGAACTCAATCGTTAAAAAATATATTTAATATTGGCAGTTTATAAATGCCGCAATACTTATTTCAAGATTTTAATTTTAGGATTCAATAAATAATTTTACAAAATAACTCATACAACAAAAATCAAATTCCATTAACATATCTATTGTATGTTTGTAACAAACATTACAAATCAAATTGAAATAAAACTAAAGTTATACAAACACAAAAAGTATATAATAACTTTAATATTAGACAATCTAGGGTAGTTCCTCAATGAATAAATATACAAAAATTCAAAGTACTTGCTTGGTGATTTGTATTGCTGTCACTTGATGATACTCTTAAACCCACGGGTGAAGCAGAGTTGCTCTTCACATCACTATGCTAAAACAATTAAACAAAAACATTCGATGAAGAAGTTATAAACAAGTAGCATACTCTCACAATAGCATTATACAGACGTTGTTGGACAAATCCAATTACATAAATAAATGAAAGCTCCAAATCTTCTAACAAACAAATCTGTCACTTGGTTTAACAAGTAACAACATTAAACAGAAGTTGCTAGATACTCTCACATGAATAAGAACTAAAGTACAGAGCTGTTTCCTCGTATATCATCACAAAACTTACAAATTATTCTACTTGGCGGTATAAATTCTAGCTATATATTCATGAAAAATATCACATATGTAACTATTAAACTATAAGTCAACCTCGATAGGTTTTCTAACAATCCAGCCCCATGATTAATAGAAGTTAAACTTGCACCAAAGTTGACCGCTAACAACACTGGAAAACTGAAGTAGAAGAAATGAACTGATAAAATAGGAGGGGGAATAATAATTAGTTAAACAAACAAACGAGTGTCAAAATCTTCTGGAGCTAACTTCAAGCAAAAGAAGCAAAAAAGAGTGCCAAAACTTTAACCAAAAATATAGAATTTGTATACTACCAGCTTACTTGAACATCTCATTTCTTGAGGGACTTTATCAAATCTTCTAAGGCATGAATTCCACTAGAATCTGTATTAGTAATAACTGCAAAAGAATATGAAACAAAGTACTCTTAGTTACTTAACATAACCTAGGGAAAAGAAGTGCAAGGATTGAAACTGTCGGAGGTAACTTACATGACATCTCAATAATTGAATTATAGAACTTTTGTTTGATTAGTTTCTTTAAGGTGTTCTTCTTTATCGGTTAACCATCTCAGTATCCATTAAAACTTTAGGAAAATAATATTGTTAAGATAATTAAATAATTACTATATGCCCTTCATATTATTTGAGTTGGAAAAATTGATAGCAGGATCACCTATCACCACCATAAGAGGAAAAATTGGTAACATGATCAACTAGCCAGGGACCTTTGTTGTTTCTGAAAATTATTGTATTTTGCAGTAAGCAGTAGTCTTAGGATAAGAAAAACCAATATGCAATTAATTTATTAAGAAAACCACCACCGATTTATATAAATTGTAAGTTTAGACTTGTATATAAAGTTTCCATCTGCATGTAGCCACATATATAGCAAGATGTCAATGAGCCAATTGTGTTAATTGTTCGCAAGGCTACCATTTCTTTATAACTTCAACTGGTGTTCAATGCTGCAAATGTTCTTCCAATAAATGTAGCTTCCTATAATTCAAGAAGTTTGTTATATAAAAAGTAAGCCTTCTACGAAACAAACACTTGGTCAAGAGACAAGTTAAGAAGCATAACTTACCCCTCAATACTATAATATCAGTAAGCAATCCTCAAACTTTTGCACACATATTCAGCGGCGAAATATATTCCTTCACCAAGCTTCTTCGCACCCGAACAGATCATGCATTATGAAAAGGGAAATGGGAAGGAGTATGATAGAAGTGTTTCTTAAACTAGAGTAAGAAACATAACAAATTCAAATACATATATCATAACAAATAAAATATATATACAACTAGCTTACTTCAACATCTCGTATATATCTTGAGGAACTTAATCAAATCTTCTAATACATGAATCCTGCCAGTATCTACATCAATAACAGCTGTAAGAGAATATGAAACAAATTACTCTAAATTACTCAATGCAACTGATATTTAATGATGCAAATGGTCTTCAATTATTGTATCTTCATGTAATTCAAGACGCATGTTATATAAAAGATAAGTTTTCTCTGAAAAGAGTGTCTTGCCAATAAATGAGTTAAGAAGGTAACTCACCCATCGGTGCTATCATACCAACCCACCAATATTAAAACCTTTGCATTGGTACTGGAGCATTTAATCTTCGATGGATGTGCATCACCTTGCCATTATAACTAAATAGAATATAAAGCACAAAAAAAATTACTGACTGATAAAATAAGAATCATGATAAATTTAGTTTCTCAAAAACTCATAATCTGAACACTATATTTTTTAGTATAGCAGATAAACAAAAGGAGTGCCGAAAGGTTAAGAAAACTCAACGGAACAATTGCAGGCACCCAAAAGTATTTCTATTCTTTTTCCCTGCTCAATGATACCCCCCCCCCCCCCCAAAAATTTCCACACATCCTAAGAAAAAGTGATGGGCAATCAGACTCTGATTGTATCTAAGAAGAACTCACATGATTTCCTGTTATTAAAATTCAACTATCTGAAGCAAAATTGAAGAGCAAAATACACAGTAAAAAAACCTAGGTTGTAAAAAGTACTCACTCATTTGTAATCAGGAACTCGAGAACAAAGGACCACACAATAATGAATCACAATTTAACCCAATACTTGTAATAATATACAGATCCACAAGAATATTTAAACAATTTCGGTTGCAAACTCTACATCGGAAAGTAAACAAAAAAATAGCGCAGCAGAAAATAAGAAAGAGCATGACAATCCTTTATTTTTCGAATTGCACCGACTTACTATGTAGAGAAGACGATGAAGAAGGGGAATTGAGCTTATCTTTCTGGCGAGTTGGGAAGGGAAAATTGAGCATCCTGAAAGATTTCATGAGTTGGGGAGGGGGAATTGAGCCCTTGTGAAAGATATCGTGCCCTACGAAAAAAGGAGGGAGAAAAAGAGAGGGAATTCTGCCCGCTTAGTTCTAAAAATTTTGAGTCTAATTTTCTTAATTATCCCGTAATGTGCATATTAAAACCTAAGAAGATGATATCCAATATTGTCTTTTAATTATTTCCTTTCTCTTTTTATTTATTTCTTTTTTACTATTTAAATAGAAGAAAATTTAGGCATTAAAGCTAACTTATTACTAATAAAATATACTTAAACATTATTGACATATATACTACACACAAAAAAAAACAACACATCCAAATAAATAATAAATTAAAATATATAGAAAAATCTAAAATATCATTAAATTAAATCATTTAATTAAAATTGTAAATATCCTTTTTTTTTTAAAATAAAATGTAACAAAATTTTAAAATTACTACTATTATTTATTTAAATTCAAAACGTCTAATATTATGAATATAAGACTGTCACGACCCAAATTCCATTATAGGTCGTGATGGCGCCCAACGCCATTATTAGGCAAGCCGACTCTAATCAACTAGTGAGTTCTCATTAATTTTACCAAACCATCCCAACTTTTAATAAATCTTGAATTTTAAACAATCAATAATTAACAAGTTCATAATAATAGAAATACAACCCAAAATAATAGTCTACAAATGTGTGTACCAGGAACTAGTATCACGTGTACTAGGGCAACTAGTAGAATGTACCAAAAATACAACTATCCTACTGCCTGAGATAGAATAGACAGTAAATAAACAAAAGAAAAGACTCTGGCATGCTGCTGAACGGCTCATAATGGGCAGCTCACCGTGAGATCTCGATCAAGTATCAGGAACGCGCGCCGGATGGGTAGCTAGATGCACCTGCCTCAGATCCTGTATGTTTAAGTACAGAAACGTAGTATGAGTACATAAACAACATGTACCCAGCAAGTATCCAGTCTAGCCTCGAACAAGTAGTGACGAGGGGTCGACTTGACACCTACTAGGGTCAATAATAATACAGTTTAAGTGTTACTCTAAGCATGAATATAATGACAGTCTAAGAACAACGAGCAATAAGACATCCCTTCCTCACAACATATCAATTTTAATCATGTCATGTAATAAGTTACATTTCAAAGTATTTAAGCGAGGTAATTCACGGAAAGTTCCACACAAATAACATGCGCACATTGTGCCGAGGTCGGACGGCACGGTCCGATATAATGATAAATTGTGCACTGCCAGAGGGTCAAATGGCGCCAACCATATATGCATCTATTTTCTACCGAGGCGATCGGCCCGATCCACAAATAGCAATTTATTATCAAGTAAGCACACATTGCTCATTTATAGTCAAATAATTCATACAAGTTCTCAAGTAAGCGAGTATAACCATCCATATTTATTTACCAATTTCTAGCATGTCCTAAGTGATCTTAGTAGCAAGCAAGGACGCACGCATTTGCAAGTATAGCATGATACGGGTCCTAAACTACCCGGACAATTAGCATAATAGTAGCTCCGTACGGACTCTCTCGTCACCACGTACGTACGTAGCCCCCACAGATAGTCACATATATTTATTTAATTCACCTATGGGGTTAGTTCCCTCTTACAAGGTTAGAAAGGAGACTCACCTCGTCCCAAAGCTCACTTCCAAATTCAAGAATGCGCTCAAACCCTCAAATCGGAGCCGAACGATCCAAAACTATTCAAATGGGGTAAGAACTATTCAATACATACTCAAGAGTTCATATTTTAACTATTAAAGTAATTTTCCAACCCTAAATGCAAGGTTCCTAAAATTCATCCCCGAGCCAACGTGCTCGGATTCCGGAAATTTGTGAAGAAAGTTGTTACCCATAACCTAAGGATCAAGAATATATGATTTCTACTACATTCCATAATAAATTTCGTGGTTAAATCTTGTTTTTATCAAAAGTCTAGGTTTTACTATAAATCCATAATTTTCACTAATTTACATGGTGTAATCCACTCCTAAACTATGTATTAAACTCACATTAAGTAGAACTAACTTACCTCACAATACTAGGCTGAAATCTCCACTTTGGAAGCTCCCAAATCGCCCAAGAAATGAATAAAATGTGTCAAAAATAATACATTCCCGTATTAAATGAAGGCCACTGCCTTCAGCGATTTCCGCACCTGCGGTTAGGGGACCGCATCTGCGGTCTCGCTTCTGCGTGAGATTGCCCGCTTCTATGGTTCTGGGCCTGGCCAGCTAGGCCGCATCTACGGTCTTGGAACCGCTTCTGCGGAAGAGGAGCTACATCTCCGGAACCTGGGCTCCTCCCCCTGCGGCTGGCCAACCGCAGGTGCGGTTATGACAGAAATGGAGCTTCAGCTCCTTCTCAAATTTCCAACTTAGCTCGAGCCTCGTCCGATTGACGCTCGGGGCCTCCGAGGCCCCACCCGAACATACCGACAAGTTTGAAATCATAAAATGGACTCGCTCGAACCCTCGGAACGCCCGAAATAATGCTAAATCTAAGAATCACCCCCTCAAATCAATTGAATCAAACTTATGAACTTCAAGTTCTTCAATTCACTTCCAATGTAACGAAACACACTTATACTACTCGGTTTGACACCAAATTTTGCGTGCAAGTCTTAAATGATAATACAGAACTATTCTCGGTCTCGAAATTCCGTTCGGACCTCTATATCACAAAAACCCGCTCCAAACCAAATTTAAAGAATTTCAAAATCCTTAAGGAATCAACTTTCACTATTTGGCGCCAAAACACTCACGGGTCATCCAAAACCTGATCCGGATATACGCCCAAGTCTGAAATCATCATAAGAACCTGTTGGAACCGTCAAATCCAGATTCCGAGGTCGTTTACTGAAAATGTTGACCGAAGTCAAACTTGACCTTTTAAGCCAACTTTTAGGAACCAAGTGTTCCGATTTCAACCCAAACTCTTCCAAATCCCGAACCAACCACCCCCGCAAGTCATAAATCAGTAAAAGCAAGTACAGAAAGTCTTATTTAGGGGAACGGGGTCCTAGAGAGCAAAACGACCAGTCGGGTCGTTATTCATGTGCAAATATTTTGTAATTTTTTTTTAATTTTACACTTATGGATTAGTGTGTATGCAGGTTGACACAAGACATTATTAAGCCATCTCAAGCTACCTCTTTATTTATCCTCAACGCGTGTTGTTTGCAACTTTTAGTGAATGTAATCATTTTTATCTTGTCTGATCTTGTTTGACCGTCATGCATCTTAATATTCGCATCTCTCCAACATTCATATTGGGGATATGTTGGGTTTTAGTGACTTAACACTCACTACCATATAATATTATCGATCTTATAACTATTACTTACCTTTCACTTTGGCAAATATTCTTCTATCACATAATATATAGCACTTCTCCATTATAACAATCTGATTTTAATTATATGAGTAACGTTTTTATCTATTATTTCATTCTCTTGAACAATGAACCTATATATCGATATAAAATTCTTAGCATTTTAGTACCGCAATCTCGTCTAGTCTCACCTCAACTTCGCTCTTCACATGCTGATTAAACTTGTGGTGCGTATAGTCGCTCTTATTTATATTTATCCTAAAATATTTGCTCTCTAAGATGTTTTACCATAATTCAAACTTTTGATTGATATCCTAATTTGTGGGGTTATTAAACACCACCAATTGTATCGAATTGTAGCATTTTAGAAAACCCCCACAATCTGATGCAATTTGCGGAGGTTATAAAAAACCTCTACAATAAAATCGCCACAAAAAGAATTATATAGCGGGGGTTAAAATAAATGCCACAAAATGATTTTGTAGTGAGGGTTCTTATAACTTCCACAATAAACCTACGCAAAATAGCTTATTTCTTGTAGTGACAAAAGCAACATCGTTTAGGACTCAGTGTCTTCATTAGGGAGACGTTACCTGTCTTTGTAACTTTTGATTCTTTCAAGGAAGGTCTCTTATTATATAAAGGAGACCTTCACATTGTAAAAGGGGGGATTCTGATCTAATACAACTCTCTCATTTTCTGGCTTTCTCTCTCTATCTCTACCTCAAACGAACATATCTTACTGAGTTCATATTATCACTTTGCAATACTAGATCTACAACAATAATATCATCTTTGCATCTCTAGGTTTATTATATTTGATTACGATTTACCCTTTTCTTACTTTTGATTGTTTTCTAGCTTACAAAGTATATTGTTAACTTTTGAGCCAAACAATTTGGCGCCGTCTGTGGGGATTTCGAGAATCAAAACCATAGTATCCACCTAGAGATCAACCAACTACCACTCTCTACACCACACAAAAACAGAAAATGGTCGAAAATAACACAAGATCGAAAGCTATATTGGGTGTCACTACCAATCTCCTTGGCCCTCTCAACGAGGCCAGTGACGATGGCATCCTGAATGCAACCCCTAGCTTCACACCGGGTGCAGAGATCTCACCTTCCCCATCCGAAGGTCTGACGATCTTGCACGAAAAAGGAGCTTCCACATCTGCGGCTACGGAAGCACCTTCCGCGGTCAAGGAGCTACTGGAAAGATGGCTAACAAGCACTCTAAGCGGCTTGGTTGAGAGGTCACCACAAAGTAACATCGGGTGTACACCAACGGTAGGTACCACTACTGCCGTGGGTGAACCGGAAGTTGCACTAGCGGATAACAAACCCATCGAGACACAAACCAGCGATAGCACGCTGTCACCCATCCTAAAGAAGATGGAAGAAATGGAAAATGAAAACAAGGCGCTCCGCGGTCAGATGAAGGAAAATCAGGAGAGGATCGACAAGATCCCTGGTGCTCCCAAGTTGCTACCAAAACGCGACGTGGGAAGGTTCGTTGAACAACCATATACTGAAGAAGCTGCCCCTCACTCCACCCCAAAAACCTTCAAGATGCCACCTTACTTGAGGGTATATGACGGAACCACAGATCCCGAGGATCATCTGATCCACTACGTCACCGCTGTGAAGGGCAACGACCTATCGAAAGAACAGGTACCGTCGGTACTGCTGAAAAAGTTTGGCGAGACGTTGACAGGAGGGGC